CCTAAAGGAGAAACAACACAGTATTCATTTTCTAATAAATCAAAATTAACAATAAAATAAAGAAATTATTACTTAGATAAAAAATATCAAATTCATATTTAATTACTAAAATTGTATAATAAATGACATTAATGTCAACAATTTAATACAATTAGATCTATTAAATTTAGTTCCATCATCTATTATAAAATTTAAGATTTGATGAATGACTAATGTTTATTCAAGTTTTTTTTTCACACACAAATTAATTTTGTTATTAAATACAATTAATTTCATTAAATTTAATTACTTTCAATCAACGGATGTTATAAAGTTAAAATTTCAATCTATGACTAATGTTTAATAAAGTCTCATTTTCACAAACAATTTATTTTATTATGAAATAAAATTATGCCATTAAATTTAATTACATCCTACCAACCGCGGTTATAAAATTAAAAGTTTTGATCAACTAATAATATTTAATAAAATATTATTTTTACACAATTTATTTTATTATTAAAATTCAATTATGTCCATTAAATTTCATTACATGCTACCAACCACAATTATAAAGTTAAAATTTTGATCGAATAATGTTTATTTGCACACAAATATAAAATATACTTATATATATATATAATATATTTATTTATTTATTTATTTATTTTTCTTCATATAATTATTAATTAAAATAATATATTATTAATCATTTTGATAACAACGTATTTATAAAATCATTATATTTAATTGTTATTGTTCATTAAATATATTTTAAATCGACTAATTTAAAAATAGAGAAAAAATAATATTATAATATTTAATATTATTACTTATTATCAAAATTATTTTTTATTTATCAAAATAGTATAATAAGGGACATATTATTACTTAATATCAAAATTAGCAAAATTAATACTTAATAATCAAAAATTACATATATAAAGAGAAATTTCCATTTTCGTATATAAATTTTGTTTGACATTTTTATCTATTAATATTTTTTATTTGTTAGTTAAAGAATAAAATTAAAAAAAAAAATCACGATAACTTAAAAATAAAATAACTGTAAAATTATGTTTGAGAGTTTTTTTTCTTTCTATAAAAGTAGTAATTATTTTATTTTTTTCACTTTTATTTTTATTTTATATTTTATTCTAATTCTTAAAATATAGAGACATGAAGTACCTCTTTCTCTATATTAATAAATAATATTATTGGAGCAATTTAATTTGTAATTTAGTATAATTTCGTACACTAAGGGGGGTGTATTGGATTAAGATTTTAAAGGACTTTTTTAGTTAAAAAAATTTCTGCGAATTTTAAAAGACTTTGTAGGATTTTCATGACTTTTAAGATTTTGCAGGATTCTAGGAGACTTAAAATTAGGATTTTAATGGATTCTACAAGACTTTTAAATCAGGATTTTAATGGGTTCTATGAAATTTTGTGGAATTTTGACATTTGATAAGATTTAAAAAAAAATTCATACATTCAAATTTAAAAAGAGAAAGACAAAAATTTTAAAAAAAATAATGTCTAGATAAATAATAATAATATATAATTCTCCATAATATCCTATCCTCTTTTTATAGCATCTACTATCAATTGTAATAATTCATCGGAATCCTCTTTGGTCCAAGCTTCATAGTTTTCTTTCTCTTTTTCTTTTTCTTTATTATTTCCTTGTAAATCTCCCATTTGAATTACTAAAACAATATATGTTGAAAACTAGTTATATAAATAATTATGGATAAGAGAGAAAATTAATAAAATTATATTATTATTTTTAGAAGCACACCAATCACACAAGATCGAATATATCTTGGGTATCCAAATGGATCAAATACCTCAATCATTATAAAAGAAACATGTAAAAATAAAAATATAGAAACATAAGATAATTTTTTATATAAAAAAAATCAGTATATTCGATACTGAGAAAATATTTAGATATATAATTTTTTTTATATAAACAGAAGTATTATTTTAACAATATTTCTTTTTTTTTTTAAAATAAGCTAATGAAGGCATAAATCTTAAACCCTAAAAAATTAGATACTGCAATGTCTTATGTTAATTTTATTTTTTAAAATATAAAAAAAATATTAATTTCACAATATAAATAAAAAAATTCATAGTAAAAAAAATAAAATAATTGTTGAGTCATAAAAGGAGGAGGGATAAGAGTAAAAAATTCAAGAGAAGGAGAGAGTTCGCATTTTTTATGCTGAGAGGGTTCTTCTCCCAACTAAGATTCATTTTTATCTCATTCTACTCACAGAAACCCTAACAAATTGATCTTATATATATATATATAATTATGATATCAATTTCATATTTCACCTTTTTCTTTTCTTGACGTGTGTTATAAAAAAAATTACCACTTAAAAGTTGATATTTTAAGCATTTTTTGTATTATATAAAGGAACAAATTCAACTATATAGAATAAAATAAAATAAAGCAAGTCAATTAAAGAGAACGAACAAAAAATAGAGCAAGTCAATGACACTATCATTTACATATCAGAATTTCACAAAATAGGGGAATGGGATGAGAACAATACTACAATATTATATATGAGCAATGAATAATAGTGTAGTATTATTAGTAGAGAAAAAATTGAGAAGACAGAAGCATAGAAAAAAAAAAGATGAAAAACTCACTTGAAAATTCTTGAAACACTTGAAAAATCACTTCAAACAATCATTCAAAATCCGATGGGTTTGGACGAGATTGTTTTATGAATCTGGTATTTATAGATAACACTAGAAAGTCCTTCAAAATCCCTCTCACACAACAATCCTTTAAAATCCTTATATTTTTGAATACCAATAGATTATTTTTAAGTTGTAAAAAATCTCAAATGAATATCACTGGATTTTAATAGATTATTTAAAAAATCTTAAAAATCTAGATTGAATACCACTAAATTATTTTTAAGTGACATAAAATCCTGATTGAATACCAATGAACTTTTTTACTCAAAAAAAATCTTTTAAAATCTTACGAAATCCTAAACCAATACAACTCCCTAAATTTAACATCAGACAACATTTATAAAATTGAAATTTAACAACTAATGGTTGTTTATGTGTTTCTAGGTGTTTAATGTACTATAACCAAAATAAATATATTAACAATTTGTGTATATATGTTTAGTTGTAGTTATCAAAATTAGATTGAATTAAGTCGGTTCAACTAATCAAATTGAGAATTGATTTGGTGATCGGTTTGATAACTTTGAAAAAATGACATATTTCAAAATTGATACAATTAGTTAAATCGATCCCAAATTGATAAAGATTAATCTGGAACTAGTGTATAGAACTAAGTTGAATCGATCCTATTCAAATTTTTTTTTAATTTTATTTAAAATGTTTTATGATAAATAAAAAAATTTAATAAATTATTTTATCTATCATTTTTAATAATTTTTTATTATAAATATATAATTTAGTGATTCATATTAATTTATAATTTTTTATATCATAATATTTTACATTATATATTATATTAATTTGAGATTTTCTTTCTCTAAATATATATTGTTATTGTTAATATATATTGCTATATTTTATTAAAATTTAAGTTTAAATATTATATTTAAATTTTTACATGCACTTTATATATTAAAAATATATAAAATAATGTTTTATTTTAATTTTAGTATCATAAAATTATAATATTATTTTATGTATTATTTAATTATTACTATTATTTTATTAATATTTGTTTAATCATGAATAAACTAATGAATCTTAAGTCGATTTCTTATAGTAAGAAATTTCTTATTTGAAACACCACATATATATATATAGGAGGGATCCATATTTTAGCAAGAGTAAGTTTTTATAAACTTATTTCACTCAATAATTTATGTTTTACACTAAATTTTAACAATTTAATCTTTAATTTTAAATTTTTTAACATATAAATCAAATATACAAATTAGTGGAATGTTTGAAAATTATATGATACTTTGTTATATAAATTTAAATTAATATATAAAATACTTTTATAAATATCTGTCAATTTAAGTTAATGTAATAAAATATTAAATAATTTTATATTTTTTTAAAAATATATAAATTTGACTTATATATTAAGAACTATAAAGTCAACGATAAAATTATTAAAATTTAATATAAATTATGAGTTATTGAGTAAAATAAATTTATTAAAACTTATTCTTATAATAAGTAAATTTCTTTCTCCATATATATATATATGAGGTATCATGAAAATGTCGTTTTATATGATAATAAAAATTTCCATTTCAACACTTAATATATCACCCATGTTTAGAGAGTTAAATAGATCACATTTATAGAGAAAATCATAAATTTTAATTCATAAAATATCTTTTATTTACCATTTCCTAAAAAAGAAAATCTTATATTTTGTTATCGACATCACGTTTAAATCAACACCGTAGGATCATCTAAAAAATTCATGTAAATCACCATGTCACCACCAAAATTTTATATCATTAGTTATTAGTTCATATCAGTATTAATCTCACGTCAAAATTAATTCACGGTCAATTAACAGTTTATTAAATAAAAAGACTGAAATTCCACAATTTTTAAAATTAAAAAAAATAAAAAATAATGTCAAAATATTAAATATATATATATATATAGTAATAATCAAAATCGCAAAAATATAAAAAAAAAAATGCATGCTGACCAATAAACCATATACAAAAACCAGGATTTTTTTTGACAGATGACAACCCTAGTATTTAAGAAGCAAACTATACTGTTTTGGTTATTTTTTATTTAAAAACAATAAAAATAACAATGATAATATGGTTTGAGAAAAATGTAAATATTTTTCCTATCTTAATCTTCGGCGCACTTGGGAAATAAAATAAAATACGAATAAAAAAGCGAATGAAACATTGAACGTTACTTTGGTCAGTATGGTGTCCCACACCGGTAAAATGAGGGGGGCCCACAAAGTATTATTCCCATTCCCATGCATCCTTCTTCTCTTCTTCTATAAATACCCCCACTAACCTCCCATTCCCCTGTAAGAAGAACTTGAGCCATCGATTAGAAATAGATTAAGCATTCAACTCCAACATGGATCACCCAACACTATCATTACTTTCATTCATACTAACATTTCATCTATTACAATCAGGTACTATATTCACCCTAACAAATGAAAATAATCAAGATTTGTGCTCATCATCGTAAAATGTAAACTTACAAAATTACTTTGTTTCCCACTTATAAGTCTTCGATGTGGGACTTAACTTTGAAGAATTTGCATGATGCAGGGGTTATTTCAACGACATTCACTCTAGTTAACAAATGCGACTACACGGTGTGGCCGGGGATTCTCTCCAACGCCGGCGTTCCTCCGCTCCCAACCACCGGCCTCGTTCTGCACACCGGCGAGTCGAGCACGATAACCGCACCCGCCTCCTGGGGCGGGCGCTTCTGGGGCCGAACGCTCTGCGCCGAAGACTCCGCCGGAAAATTCTCCTGCGTCACCGGCGACTGCGGGTCGGGAAAGGTGGAGTGCGGCGGCAGTGGCGCCACCCCGCCGGCCACCCTGGCGGAGTTCACTCTGGACGGCGCCGGGGGGCTGGACTTCTTCGACGTGAGCCTGGTGGACGGCTACAACGTGGCGATGCTGGTGGTCCCGCAGGGCGGCTCCGGCGAGAAGTGCGCCGCGACGGGGTGCGTGGGCGACCTGAACGGCGCGTGTCCGTCGGAGCTGAAAGTGACGGGCGCCGACGGGAGGGAGGGCGTGGCGTGCAAGAGCGCGTGCGAGGCCTTCAACGCGCCCCAGTATTGCTGCAGCGGCGCGTACGCCACGCCCGACACGTGCAAGCCCTCCTCTTACTCGCAGATCTTCAAGAGCGCTTGCCCACGCGCTTATAGCTACGCCTACGACGACAAGACCAGCACCTTCACTTGCGCTTCCGCCGATTACACCATCACCTTTTGCCCTTCCCCTACCACCAGGTTTCTACTTTCTTCCCCCAACCAAGCCTTCATAATTAGTTAATTTTATCTAGGATTAAGGAGAAAATAAAAATTACTCAAGTGGGTTGGTTAGTGATAAAAATTTAGAACAATATAACCAAATCTTGTTTTTACAGTAAAATTTTCTACTAATAAAAATATCTGACATGAAAATGATAAAATTATTAATTGAGTTGATTAATTTTCGGTATAAACAACTATACAGTTCAATCATGCGATTAGTTCTCGCATGTGTTAAATGTCCACTACGAGTAATTGTTAGTAATTTTCACCGAAGAAGATACACGTTGATACCGACCGACCGGTGTTAATAGCAACATTGAAAATGTAGTGATTCGGTGGATAGTCAAAGTTAACTTTTTTATTTTTAGGTAGAAAATAGACGTCAAACCAAACCATGTTTGCAACTAGAAGCAATTACTACAAGTAGAAGAGATCGATTTGTACTTGGTGTAGATCAACGAGGAAAATAATAACGTATGTTTCCACTCCACAATTCTTAATTTGATCGGTCTCCTAAGAAAGAGAAGCCAAAAAAATTGCTACTGCAATCTCCATATCATGATAATAGTAGTAGTATTAAATTATGCACATGGGATGGGAGTGGTGGCACACATGCCAATGGTTATCGTTGCACATCATTATTAAAGTAGTAACTGGTTCTGTGCAATTGATGACCGTTGCACAAAGCACGTTACCATTTGCATTATTGCATTGCACTCATTGGTTTTGGCATTATTATTTTTCAGTCAGAAGGCATCACAGGGGCAAGACACGAAACAGGATTCGCCGTTACTCAACAACGCAACCATGGTGTACGAAGGTGCTTTCGGTCAGAGCGAAATCTCGCGGGCCTCAAGCCGCCACGTGTCCCAATCCCAAGCCATTGCCGGCATTGTAAGCATCGCGATGGCTATGTGGCGGTTGTGCCACCTCTACTAGCTCTTCTTCCTTCAGCGTTTTTCACAGGGCTAGCTGGGCCCATGAGCCTCATCAAGTCCACGTTCATTGGCCCAACAAGATCGTGCGAGTGGGCCCCTCTTGCTCACCAAGAGCAAGAATCATGTGAGCTGTGTATGACCATGCTGACGCGGATGTGACTCGTTTGTACGTGTATACTACAAGTAACAACGTAGTGAGGGAATTTTGAGTGTTTTTTAGGTATTAATTTATTTTTCTAGATTAGTTTATCAATATTCAATAGCTAGGTATACTATTATTGCATTCTTTGTGCTATGGGCAGGGAAATTCTTTATTGGTTCGGCAATGTGCTATTGTAATATTTAACTGCAATAAAGAAATGGATTCGTATATTTTGGTACTGTTACAACATTGTCAACGTGTGAGGTGTGTTCCAATATATAAAACTGGATGTGGTCACTAAAGGGGAAAAAGATGCAACATTTTAAGAAAGGATAACATAAATTATGTTAAGCTACTAAACGACGAGGATGTTGATAATTAGCGACTGAAAAGGAAAAATTCGGTGTTTTTTAATTGTCCTCTCTCTTTTACTCTTTGCAAGAGGACCACGGATTTGTTATATATCGCTATAATTATTTATGAGCATCATTGGGTTATTTAATTACCCTAAACATATTACTTTTTGTATTTTTAATATATATTGGGCTTTTATTATTGAAATCTACTTATGGACTGTTCCAATTGCAATGGTTAACATCCAAAAGATTAATTAACTCCACCGTGGTTAATCTTTGAAAACTACATATAATCCATCACACTGGCTAATTTCTGCCAAATATCATAACTTTTTTACTTTTAAAAATATTATTTAACTAATAACATCTATTCAAATATTGACTGTTGTCAAATTTTTTTAAAATACATACCAAGTTTCATATCATTAAAATTAAAAAAGATTATAAAACATATACATATCTCATTAATATAAAAAATTAATTAAAAAATACAATTTTCCTCTACATAAATATATCTCTTTCAAACAAATACAAAACATAATCTTAACAAATTTTTGGTGATTTTTTTTTTAATTTATTAAATTATATAATCTGATTGTTGTCTCACCAATTCCATGCCATGGTGTAATGGGTCCTCCCTATTTTATCCTCCCCCAGCGACTTTGATTTTTCAAGTTAAAACTCTGGTAGAAATCATTTGTTTATTCAACTTTAGAAGGAATTCAAAATTATCTACTTATGGTTGTTGAACATTTACGCATACAAATCAAGATTCATTCGAATTGGGTTCGCGACAATGACATAAAGCAGGCTTTGTTGTCGCAGTAAATATACAAAAACCAACCTTTATTCATGCATTGCATTTCCTTTTTCCTGTCACAGCTATTTATGATGGTATAATCGTTGTTGGTTTAACAAATTTTCAATAGATATTAAACATGAATCTTTTGTTAAATAAATTGTTCTTACAAAGTATAAATATATAGTGCTTAACTGTTATGCTAATCCATGGTGTTTGAAATCAATGAAGCACGTACGATTATATCATTTCAGCCGCCGGAAGAATGTGTAAAACCTCTCCGAACAAAGTCAAATACCGGTGATTAGGGTTAACCTTTGATTAGTGATATATATGGAAAAACAGATATTTTCTAAATTTTAGGTATATATACTAAAGTTCAAAGATGAAAGATTCTATTTCTATATAAACCTAATCTTGTGTTATTTTCTAAATCAACCCCAATTTTATTATTAATTTTTTTTTTCACAACCTCCTTTGTTTTATTCCCGTTTCACATTACTCAACATTTTATTATATGCGACTGCGGTAAAAGAACGTGATAAAATAAACAATTTTCTTTCCAAGTAAAAAACAGTTGGCCCAAGTTTGTTTTTGGAAGTTGAAGTTATTATTTGCGATTATATGACTTACATTTTGAAATCAGAATAATGAGTTTGACATTACATTTTATCACACGTGACATTGTATGTATATATATATATATAGTGGTTGGGTGGGGAGGAGTTGGGGTAGTTAGAAGTATGAGGACCTAGGTTCAATCTTCATTGTGACTATCTTTGTAATTTTTTTCTCTCTTTACCAATATATATATATATATATATATATATATATAAAGGTCACGTGAAGTTAAGTGAACAGCTTGAGTTCTTTTGAAAATATATTTTTTTCATAGGGACAATTATTAATTTTGGTTTGGACTTACATTTTGAGACACCAATAATTATAAATAATGAATTTTCATCTTGAAACATCTTACCTTAAATTATTTTTGCTTCATGGATAAGATGATCCCTTGACTTATGGCATGCTCAATTATGAAGAGTAGTTGAAGTTTAGATATCACTACCTGGCTACCCCTCAGCGAATAATTGAATTGTTGCTAGACTATTAACCTTAATTTATCAAGACTAACATAAAATATGAGTGATCATGAAATGTGATTTTTGAATTATTTCTATAAAGATTAATGTTAAATTCTCTAAATCTATCCTCTCAAATGTTATAAAAATATATTTAATGTCTTAATAATATAACATTTAATATCACAAAAAAAAAGAGAGAGAGAAGAGAATGAGTACAATTCAAAAACTAGAGTAAGAGAATTTAGAATCATTTTTTTCTTAATGAATAATGTATATACCTAACATCACTCGTTCGTATATAATACTTTAGCTGGCAGCTAGATTCATGAATTAGTGGTCGTGGTTGCGTGATTAATCTTGCCACCATTTCAATGTGTGCACGCTTCAGAAAAATTAGAACAAGACTAAATTTCAAAATTTTAATATAATAGTTGGGTCGGTCCCATCGGTTTTCTCAAATTTGCAATTGGGCTGGACCCATTCCAGTCCCTTTCTTCTTGTTTCATCGTGGGCCTGGCATTGGTGCTGGGGAATAACGATCTCAGAATTCAAACTTCAAAAACTGCTTTTATATACACGTGACGGAACCCTTTGAGCATATTAAAATATAAATTATTTATATATTTTTAACAATTTGCTCAGTAAGAATTTATATTAAAATTTGTATAAATTTGCTCAGTATGAATTGCTAAGATAAAACTTTAATTATTAATAAAAAAAATTGTATGTAAATTTAAATGAAAGAATTACTAAAGTTGGGTTGAGACGATTAAAGCAGATAATGAAATAATGGATGAAAATTGTGTCTGCTGTCACACTGCTCCCTCTTTTATGAACTGGTTTTGTGTTCCTACGTGAACCTGTCCTCCATTGCGTGCTTCTTTACGACACCAATTTTAATAATCCCTCCATTTTGGAAGCTCTTTTGTCAAACTAATCAACCGAACGAGTGAGTGGTGTCACCTTCAATTCTCACATCAAAAAACTCATTATTACATTCATAATAGTTTCACAACAAAGACTATTCGCTCTCTAACTATTCTTGTTTCTCATTCTCGTATCGATCTACTTTCTATTCAACCAAACATGAGATTTTATGAACCAAATAAAGCATAAATTAGCCTACAGATCTTAGAATTTTAAAGATAACACTTTGGTAACATTATGTCAATGTTCAACATCACAAAAAATCAGGCCATAGGAAAACGTTGGGCCACTTGCATCTGTCACGTTTCAAACTGCTAACTAGTTTTGGGTTTCAAGTCCCACATCCATTACCAGAAAAGTTGAAATAATGTATAACAGTAAGAGACAATATTCATTTTAGAGGTAAACTCGAGTTAGATTTAAACTCATTCTAATGTGATAACATTTAAAAGTGGATCGCTAGTACTCTAAAAAAATGAAAAAGACTTGAAGCCTTACATGTTTAAAAAAATTATTTCAAACAAAATAAATGAAAAAGCACAAAAAAAAAGGAAACAAGTCAGAATTGGACCTCCAGTTGAGCTGAGGGAAAGTGTTGAAAAATAAAAATCCCACATCGGACAAAATAAAGACAACCCAAATATATAAAAATTAGACTAAATAATATAAACTTCTGAATAATATTAATAAGTTAATAACAGTAACAGGAAACATAGTGATTTTTTTAAAACTCTTTTAATGGATAGTGACACGAGATATTTGAATTGTAAAAATTAAGAAGTGAATCTTATTTTTCTTGAAATGCATAAATGATTAATGCATCTTATCGAAATATTACATTTTTTTAAGTCGAAAGATTGTTTTTTTGTCATATAGTTATTGGAAAATATTTTAAGGACTAAAAAATAGTAACCTAGATTTTGGTAAGTGGTAACATTAACATGTTGAGGAAAAAGGATATGTAAAGAAAGGTTAATTTTCTTTGTAATGCTTCCTTATCTTAAAAAAAAAATGTTAGAGAAAAGAGTGAAAAAAAGGATCAGAGAAAATGTCAGAAGTGGGATTTGAACCCACGCCCCCTTTCGGAGACCAGAACTTGAGTCTGGCGCCTTAGACCACTCGGCCATCCTGACTTTGTTGCTGCTTTTGTCCGTATAAAAGTTATTAATTCATTATTCTAGTTTGCTTTAATATACACATTGTTTTTTAAAAAATCTTCTAAAAGTTAACTTATTAAATAATTATGCATTTATCTTAGGTTTAATTTAATATTTATTGTCATATTAAGTTATTAAAATTTATAATATTAAATTACCTATTTATTTCTCTTCACGTGCATTAGTTTTCTAATTTATATATTGAGATGATTTATGGTGAGATGATATATTTGTTAATTCAAACGCAAATAATAACATGATTGCGGAAACCAACTCTTAACACAGCGTTAATTTGCAGCTCGATAGCTAAAGATAAAGTCTCGAATTTATGCTGACTGAGAATCTAATTCCATAGTTATCTAGATAATTTTCTATTTGCATTTAATTTTTATTAAACAATTATTATTATACCAATAAGTGTAAAAATATTATTTTTTTTATTTTTTCACTATGTTATTGAAGTATCATTGACTTTATTATAACTAATGAGAAATTTATTTGATGATCTTTAATAAAAATTTCTTTACCAATCACATGTTTTTATATAAAAAAAATTTGAACTCTAACACTAAATTCGAGACTCAAACGCCTTATTCGATAGTGTAAATACAATGTGAAATCGGTAATATTTAACATTTTTTTATTTATATTAATTATAACTATATTTTTTAAAATTATAGATTTGAACCTAATTTAATCTTACAAAATTGATTTATAAGGTAATAATCATTCACCAGTTATATATTACTTAATTATGTAATTTCTAATGAACATGAAATTTGAGTTTTTCTGGATACACTCTTTCACTTAAATGACTTATTCGTTAGATATGAAATGATAATATTAACCATTTTTGTTGGATATTCATACACTGTGTAAATACAATAATATTGCTCATAGTACGTATCCGCGGTGTTGTTTCCATCATCGGAAAAATGGGCAAAAGTTCGTCATAATCGACATTCGACACCATAGAGGCAAAAAGAAAGCATATTTACACAGTGCTTCCATATATATCTAGAAGACTAAAAGATGTACTATGTTCATTTTGTTCCAAGTTAAACATGTCTAATCAAATACATGCAGTTCAGTTAGTTGGCCACGTTGAAATCTAGGAACCCAGAATTATAAAAGCGTGGCGTGCAATGCAAATTACAGCAAATGAATGTTAAAAAAAGTCATCAGTTCACACCACACGTCGCAAAAATCTAGTATGAGTTTCTTGCCTGAAAGAATGAAAGACACAAAAAACAAGATAGAAGAATCTATCCGATAGCCACATCAAAAGTTGGTTCCCAAATTGCCAGAGTGACCGTAATTATACAAGTTCCTTTATGACGTGTTTGGAAGAGAAATTTTATAAATTTAAATTTTTTTAAATTTTTAGTATTTGAATTATTTTAATTTTAATTTCTATCATTTTTAAAATATTTTGTTTAGATAAGTCAATTTAAATTTCTCAAATTTTAAATTGTTGGGTTAGATATGATAATTTAGTTCCACCATGATAAAGTATTTTGAATTTTGTTTGGATGAAGAATTTAAATGGAGTAATTCATTTATTTGAAAAATTTTAAATTTTTTTAAGTGGAATATCTTGTTTGGATGGAGAATTTATAAGAAATTTGAAATTCAAGCATTTGTGAAATTCTTTGAAATAGTAAAATTTTAAATTCTCTCAAAAAAGAGAATTTGAAATTCTTCATATTTTTTTCTTTTTATTTCACTTATATATTTTATCTTATTTCTTATCTTTTCATGTTTTTAATTATTGAATATTTAAAATATTTTTAAAATTATTAAATATTATTTAATATTAATTTTTAAAATTATTAAATATTTAAAAATTAGCTAATATTTATTTTTATAAAATTTAATTTAAAAATTTCAACATATAAATATATTTTTAAAATTAATTTTACCATGGTGGAACTAAATTATCATATCTAACCCAACAATTTAAAATTTGAGAAATTTGAATTGACTTATCCAAACAAAATATTTTAAGAATGATAAAAATTGAAATTAAAGTAATTCAAATATCAATAATTTAAAATTTCTTAAATTTGTAAAATTTCTCATCCAAACACACCATTAATTCTTTCTAACTACTTCTCACTCCATCCAAGTTGACAACCGTAATAATAAATACAAGTAAAAAATAATAATTATTTCATAAATCAATATTTGTAAAATTAAATTAATCTAAACTCATTTTAAAATATACCAGAGTCTATTTTAATTATTTTTATTAAATCTATTAAACTAATCTCTATCATTATCACAATTGAATCTCATGCATATATCTTACATACATACTACGCACATCATAAGCACGAGATGGGAATGTATTAAAAGACCCACGTCACTTTCTAGTTTCTAACACAATCAAAAACTAGACACACATATTTATCTCAAACATCTAATGTACATACCCTTTAGCTTAGTCTTTCAAGTATGATGACACTTATAGTGGGGTTTACTCCACCTAATATTCCGTTATATATTAACCCATCCTTTATATTGTATATACTTTATTATCCATCTTGCAATCTCCTCTCATCTCATTCTATTCATCGCAAAAACTAAAACTTTATTTCCTATTGTTTCATTTCATGCATGGGCAGTGGAGCCCAACATTCTCTCCATTCTCCTCTTCCGTTCACCCCAATCACTTTCCTTGATCTACCACATTCCAAATTCATTTCATGGCTCCCCATTGTTTCTCCATTCACATTGCTCTCATATTGCTTCTCCTTTGCAAAGGTAATTCATAAGTGGACTCTTCATTCTTCAAATTTTCATACATAACATAAATTCTCAATGTATCCCATTGGATAATAGGTGCATCGGGAGCCACGTTTACTCTAATCAACAAATGTGATTACACGGTGTGGCCCGGGATTTTGGCCAATGCAGGAAGTTCCGGGTTGGACTCAACCGGGTTCGAGCTCCGACCCGGTGGGTCGCGGAGCTTCCGCACACCGCCCAATTGGTCCGGAAGATTCTGGGGCCGAACCGGGTGCAACTTCGACCCGAATACCCAAGAGGGTAGTTGCACCACAGGGGATTGCGGGTCCAACCAAGTCCAATGCAACGGGGGCGGGGCAAACCCGCCAGCCACGTTGGCCGAGTTCACAATCGGGTCGGGTTCGGGTGCCCAAGATTTTTATGACGTAAGCCTCGTTGATGGTTACAACTTACCCATGCTTGTGGACCCCAGTGGCGGATCGGGTGCGTGCGGGTCCACCGGGTGCATTGCGGACCTGAACCAACGGTGCCCGAACGAGCTGCGCGTGGCGGACCGCGGCGCGTGTAGGAGCGCGTGCGAGGCGTTCCAGAGCCCCGAGTATTGCTGCAGCGGCGCGTACGCCTCACCGGCGACTTGCAAGCCTTCGGTGTACTCGCAGATATTCAAATCCGTATGTCCCAAATCGTATAGCTACGCGTACGACGACGCTACGAGTACGTTTACGTGTACGGGAGCTGATTATACGATCACATTCTGCCCTTCGACCACAAGGTAACCACATTCTGATCCTATACATGCATCTTCCTATTAATTTAATATAATTTAGTTACTTAATAACTTTCTTTTCAGTGCTATCCCTTTCTTTCTACTTAATTTTAATTTTTCATGTGAGATCACGATTCCAATCTCTGATTGATGCTTTCGGTTGTTCGTGTTATATAGTATGCAACCGTTTTATTTTTTAAAATGGGAATGACACATAATGCTTGCTAACTTTTTTCTTTCTTTCTTGTTATAATGCACTTTTAGTGTGGCACAAGTTAATGCCTAAACTACATTTGCTTGAGGTACACTAAAAGAAAAGAGGGTTGGGATTGCTAGGTATAGCATGCAAAACTAGAGAATAATATTGACCTATGAAGTATGAATAATTTTTTAGAATTGAATTAAACCTAAATGATATATTAGTTAGAGTTGTTATCCAATAAAATTGAAGTTTTATTTCGTGTATCGAAGTTTTTTTCCATTAACAAAATGTTATTGAATTTAACATTTATTTGGATTTATATATATGCAGCCAAAAATCTGCAAGAGATTCACCACCTCCTCCTTCAGGAATGGGGTCAGAAACAGGGACAGGGGAGATGCCGTTGATAGTTAATAGTCCATGGTTTCCCAACTTCTTCACTGGACTCTCATCCAAATCTCACTCTTGCCCCTTGCCACTCATCGCTACTCTCACTATGCTACTCTTCTTCTTTTTGCAATACTCATAGAGTGCATTCATGTTAAAGGTGGTAGGTGACATTTTTTTAGGGCGATTATAGATATACAATTAAACCTCAACATGAATTCTCTTTCATACTCATCATGTTAACTTGGGAAGCAATTGCAATCACAATCTGGTGCACCCACCAGCAAAAGGGACTTTTTCTACGCATGGATTATTGTTGTGATTAATTATTGAATTAGAGAGTGATGATGCAGCGCAATATGAAAAGTAGTGTTTTTGTTTTCCATGCTTTGCTTGACTTAGAATCCGAGTAATATGGTTGGTACAACCTTGCGGGTATTTCAAGCTTGGAACCATCACATTTTTGGGTGGCAAAGATAATAGGATTTAATTTCCAATTATATTGATCTGGCAATAGCAATAAAGAGACATTGCCACTTCTTGATGAATGAATTTTATGATGTTAATGTTAAACAAACTTGGTTATGTTCAAAGGCACGTAGCTAGTGTGATATAACAATTCAATGATATAGCACTTTCCATGAAAACTATATTATATGATCTGATGGGTCATTCAAGTGTAATTGTGCATTTCATGTTTTAGTCCCGTTGAGATTTACAGTGCTCTTTGTGTGTTCCAACGTTAAGCTAGCTTTTATGATCAAATCAACCGTTGGATAATTGTATCATTTGTATGTATGTAGAGGAATTCCGTAAACTCGTGTTTTCAAACGCAAATGTGATAAATCGTCATCGCTATATATAAATTAGAATAACCATGATATATTTAAAAAGTGTTCTTAAGAACATTTCTCAATCTTTAGTTTTTTTAGTTTTTCTATGCGTCTTATCTCTCTAAATTTATCTATTTTTATTGTTTAGTTGTATATTAAATTCTAAAATATTTTTCAAAATATCGATAGTTAAAAAATAACTCTATACTACAATATAAATTATGTATTATAAATTTTAAATATAATTATAACTTTGTGTTATAATATACTCCCTCAGATCCTTTATATAAGAAACAAATAATTAATTTATCAAAACTAATAAAAAATAGTTAAGATAGTTCATTTTTATCAACAATGTCATAGATTTAAATTTTATTCTAAAAACACTATTTTGAATTGATTGGTTTAAGTAATAGTTGCATTAAATGACACTACACTTAATTAAAGAGATAATTTTTTTAACTAATAAATCTAACTTGTATTGGTAATAGATCAACAAATGTATTCACTTACATGAAGGTATAAAATGAAATTAATAATTAATGCATCTTAAAGTAGGTATGTGTTTATAATAATCAACACAAAAAAAAAGGTGCACCTATTTGTTTCTTATGCTAAAGACAAAAGGGAATAATATAATTTATACAATAAAAAAATTTATTTATTGTAAATTATAGTTGTATAAAATAAATATTGCATTCTACAAGCTAAAATATTAGTTTTTCACTATATTTGATTTTACAGTGGCATTTTATCTCAAATGTGATTTTAACATTAAAATTAATTAGTATTTTAACATTTAAAATGCACAAGTTAAATATTTACTATATACATAACTAAAATTTAAAATAAATAAATTATATATATAAATAAATACCATATTTGAATATTAAATTATATTTAAAATTTATATAAATAAACATTTGTAAATATACAGATTATATTATAGATTTAAGAATAATTTATATTATAACATAAAATTATTTTTAAAATAAATATTTTTTGACATATAAATTATATTTTAGATTTTTGATAAATAATTTATAGTATAACACAAGATTATTTTTATTTATTAATAATTTATTTTAAAAATTAAAATTTAATTCATAAATAAGTATGATAAAATAATAGAATTAGATAAAATGTTAAAACAATCTTTAAAAATCTTCTCATTGAAGAACAATTTTTAAAAGCATTCCCACGTAAAAAAAAAAAAGTTTGTATTTTAATATAAAGGAGTCTATGTATATTAAAAACATGAAATGAATAACTCTTGATAACCATGAGTAGAAAACTTTAACCCATGTCAAACATTAAATTTACTTTAAACTTGGTTTTAGTTCAAAACTAATATTATAAAATAAAAATAATCTAAAATTAAGTTTTTAAATGTATATTTAAATTATGGGTGAATATACGGGCTAGTCTGATCTATTTAAAGTCTAGTTTACGAAATTCACATTTTTAACGGATTAGATAAATTCAATCCGTCACATAAATGATTTTTTAATGTCTATATCCGCTCTGCAAAGTCCGTAGTTAAATAAACAAACTCATGGGCTCAATAAATTTTTTTTAAAAAAAATCTTCTTCCCTTTTTTATACCAAGCATCAACATCAAACAATCTAAAATAATTTTTTTATATAAAAATCTTAACATATGAAGTTTCAGGACATATACATTATTTTTTTATAAAAGTCTTAAAATGGAGGGGATTATTGTTGGGTTTAGTAAGATTTTCTGTAGTTGAATTTTTCTGTCTCAACTATCTTTAATTTTTTTGTCTTTGTTCTGACTACAAATTTAAGATTGTAAATCCTAAATTATTGAATTTAGATTTAGTAAGATGAGTGATTGTTGTAAGAGATCTCAAGTAAGGATGCTTTAATCAAATATTGATTTTTTTTTTATGTTTAATGAATCACAAAACTCCTATAATAAAAGTAGGGAAGAAATTAGTGATAATGAGAGTAAGTGAGAAGATATAAATAATTCAAACATTACTTTAGTTATTTTTAAATTAAATTAAAAATTAAACCTTAGTATGCAACGTGTCTAAACCTACTTGATTAGTAACTGTTGCATGTGAATTGGAAAAAAGAATGTGTCAATATGATAATTAAATGTTGATTGATCATAAAACTACTAACATAATTAATAATTGAATATAATAAAAGGATTAACTTATAAAGAAATTAAAATTTAAAAATTCAGGTGCCACAAAAAATCTTTTAAAACATATGATCCACCTCTATCATTTTTTTAAAACCAAATTGAATATTTATTCATAATTCAATTGATAAATTATTTCTTTGTGGTATATCCTTCCCTCGTTCGTTACATACACAATCCATTGTTTCTATTGGTTTGTTTAATTTTTTGTTTTGACCCATTAAAATGTCCCTGGCCCTAGCTACTTGACACCATTTTCGTGTGCTGGGTATATGTATAGATAACGGCCCAGTCATGAATTGGCCTTTAGATCATGATATATATACCTTTTTTTTTTTTTTTTTATAAGTACACCCTTTTTTAAAAAAAATAATTAAATTCTTAAAATATCATTAATTTTTAGGCTAAAAATCTATTTTGGTCCCTCATAATAATTGTTTGTTTCAATTTAGTTCCACTTTTATTTTTGGTTTCAATTTGGTCCCAAATAAATTAATTGGTTTCAATTTGGGACTTCCGTCCAAATTATTTAGACGGAGTTAACTTTGGCCACGTGGATGCCACGTAGATGCATAAGTGGATGCCACGTGCATGCTAATTTTTTTAAAACACCTGGAACCAGAACGGCCCATTCTGAAACCGGCACGGGCCGTTCTGGATGCACTCTTGGTGTGTTAATTTTGCATCTGAAACGGGTCGTTCCAGATGCAAAATTAACACACCAAGAGTACAGCAGAACAGTCCGTTCTGAAACCAGAACGGTCCGTTCTGAAACCAGAACGGCCCGTTCTTATTTCAAAACAGGCCGTTCTGAATTCAGAACGGCCCGTTCCAAAACTGAGAATAGAATATTCTTTATTAATTTTATTAAAAAATATAATAATTTTGAAAAATATTTTTTTATGGTAAAAATTTTAGAATTACTTATTTTTATAAAATACAATTGTCTTATAAATAGAGTAATAACTTTTTTTTTCTCTTTTTTGCCTGAAGAAATATTTAAGTGTCAATTGTCTTATAACGAAGTATCATATGATTTATAATTTTTTAATTTTTTTTTATAAATTTGATCTATACATAAAAAACTTTTTAATTTAACAATTAAATTCTTAAAAATTTGATATAGAACATTAATTATTAAATAGAATAAATCTATCAAAACTTACTCTTGAAGTAAGTAAATTTTTTCTTCATTAAAAATGAAAAAAATTAATATATTTATTATATTAGATATAACAACATAATTAAAATATAATTAATAATATATATTTTATAAAATTATTAATATTTTATATATAAAAAAAAGAATGAAAAAATTTTTAGTAGGGGCAAGTGCTCCCACTATGATTAAGTTAGATCTGTCCTTGCATATGGTTGTGTGGTGAAATGTTAGTCCAATGTATCCTCTTCCTTTACTTCAGGTTCTACCTCTTTAAGAACAGGTTGTTGTTGTTGGGGTACATCGTTAATGACTTCAAGGAAAAATATCATGTCATTTCATCCTTTACTGTATAGTGTCAATTTGGTAGTAAGTGGTTCACTCCAGTTTGAAATGAAATAAAATCTGCTACCATTGTCTTTAGTGATACATTGCATTATCCTTAATAATACACTGTATAGCCTAACTGTTTAGCAATTGAAGTTATCAATTTCCATTGACAATATTACCAAATTCAATGTTTGAAATGCTTTGTACCTTGGGTCTTTTTCCTTCCATGATTCACAACCGTGAACTATAATCATTGATCGTTTATGTTTAGTAGTCTGGAACCAGAACGGCCCGTTCTGAAACCAGAACGGGCCGTTCTGGTTGCACTTTTAGTGTGTTAATTTTACACCTGGAACGGGTCGTTTCGGATGCAAAATTAACACACCAAAAGTGCAACCAGAACGGGCCGTTCTGGTTTCAGAACAAGCCGTTCTGGTTTCAGAACAAGCTGTTCTGGTTTCAGGTGTTTTCAAAAAAATTAGCATCCACGTAGCATCCACGTGACATCCACCTATGCATCTACGTGACATCTACCTATGCATCTACGTGGTATCCACGTGGCCAACAGTTAACTCCGTTTAAATAATTTGGACGGAAGTCCCAAATTGAAACCAATTAATTTATTAGGGACCAAATTGAAACCAATTAATTTATTTGGGACTAAATTGAAACAAAAAATAAAAGTGAGACTAAATTGAAACAAACAATTATTATAAGGGACCAAAACAGATTTTTAGCCTAATTTTTATTATTTTTAACTTTTTAATTTTACACTCCTAATATTTAATTTAACACTTTTTTTTACATTCCTTTTTCCCTTATTTTCACATGCACGGCCTTAATTTTTCTTCACCCCCACCTATTTTGGTAGGTAATTTTAATTCTTTTAATTTTACATTATTTTTTCCCCTTCCTCTTTCAGTTTTCTCACTGATTTCACTATTTGCATAGGACTCTAGAATAGTGAAAATGTCTTTTTCATAACACTAAAATGTTAAGGTTTTTGAAGGGATGAAAGGAAAGGAAGTGTTGAAAGAAAAAATGTGTGTTTAGTTTGATAGAAACTGTCGAGAAAGCTACACGTACCTATAATATTGTCGCTTACCAGTTCTATGATTTGAGTGTATGTGAAAAAATCAAAGAGGTGAGAAAATAAGAGAATAATATAAAAATCGAGAGAACTAAAACTACCTACTGAAATATGTGATGAGACAAGATGGTGTATGTGAAAATTGAAAAAAAGAAGGAAGGAGGTGTGTGAAAAGAAAAAATAATTAATTGAAAGTTAGATATGTAAAATTAAAAATTTAAAGAATAAAAAATTATGAATATTTAAAAAAAATAAAGGAGGGAAGGATATACCCAGCACACGAAAATGGGCTCAAGTAGCTATTTGAAAACATTTATTTGTTAATTTATTTTTATTTATAACTATTATTTTAACGTATGTAATACATTTGAGGTATGTTAAATTGTTAATTTCATATAATTTTAATTTATAATAAATATATATTTATAAATATAAATTAGATTATAATTAAAATTTATAATAAATAAAAAAATTTTAACATACAAATTATATTTTAGATATATGATAAATGATTTATATTATGATACAAAATTATTTTAATTATTGTTATTTTATAGAATAATATTAAAATTCTATTTTAAGACAATGATAAATGATAATTAAAAGGAATAAATGAAAAAATATATATCAATTATCTAGTGGGAAAAAAATAAAAAGAAACACTTCATGTGTTTGTTATAAAGAAATTAATAACAAATACCTCTAAGTAATTTGTTTGATTATTAGAAATTGTGTATAGATGTGTAGTTATTAAGAGTAAAACAAGTAAGATAACTTGATACATCACGATTATCTTTTTTATTATTAATATAAACTAGTACATTAGCAATTTAGCATATACATTACCCACATTAAATGTTTATTATATATAACTAAATTTTTTAATAAATTATATCTAAATAAATATTATATTTAAATATATAAGATATTTATACCCTTTTATTATATATAAGACATGGCATAATAATATAATTTATGTATCAATAACTAATAACAGTAAATTAATAAACATTTATTCATATTCTAACATCACGTTATCACATCACATTCAATGTAAAAAACATGTTATGCTCATACAAGAACAAGTCCTCCTAACTACTTATATAGCACTAATACAACACTTTCGGCATGTCTGGATATGCATTTAAAAAAACTTAACTGGAATTTTCCGCTTTTCATCAACACTCTCACCGAAAGAAAATACACCAGTAACATGTCGGAGTAACTATGTTGGCCAAATTTTACCTCATACACACAATGTGACATCATGGGACTCTCAAACCTAGTTATTCCAAAAATCATGGAATCTTCAAGCTTTTACACAAGGACTTACCCTGGTAGCATATTTCACATCATACCCATCACACAAAAAATACATTTATGCAAATAATGAATGTCACACATAGACTAATGCACAGCCAACAAATCTTATTCACATCATACATATTTCACATTTCACTTCACCACTAAGTCATACATAAGCTTGCTTACTCATTTGATTTACACACATCACATGTCTCATAACTCATGAATCTCACACCATCATAAGCATTTTCTCAATTATCATTCTTAGGCACATCACATATCATTCATTCACCACATTTCTAGATAACTCACTCTTACATTCAATAAATCATGTAATTCATTCAGGCATTCAGCAATACTAAATTAATTAAAAACACCGTTCCAGATATACAAGTTACAGGAACAGGATAGCGTCTGGTGTGGAGTGTCCTACATCCGGCACGAACGAGGCCACAAGACTCTGGAAGGATCACGACTGGCGTAATTCTTCCTGTGCCCAACGAGTTAATTAGATTCCTTCTGTCACTGTTAGTTTGAGTTAGCTAGTAATTCTGTTATTTTCCCTTCATCATATTCAGTATACATACTATATATTCATAGTTTCCATTTCTCTTGGTCTCAATTGCAACAGAATCTTTTGTTTGACTAAAATATATTCTTAATTTTTTTTGGTCTGCTTGAGAGTTATCATTTATTGTCAGTCATACACAATATCTGCAAAGTATAATCTGTAGCATTTAACTTATTTTTGCCTGGTCAGTTTCTTTATAATTGTAGGGGACAGTCTTTTCACAGTGAGATAAAACATCAAATGAGGCTTGTAAGGAGCTCGAAAAAGAAATCTCTTTGGTCCAGAAATTTGGAAGAGGTATATGAGATTATGATTGTGATAACTATTTTATAATTATCCTTTTGGTTGCTAGAATTTTATAAACTTTTTCTTTTAAGTCTCTATAGTTAAAAACATTTTATTTTAGTCTTTATATATATAATTGTTATTTCCTTTTAGCCTCCTAACGTCTATTATTATATGAGACTAAAAGATAAAATTTATGAAATTATAAAAATTAAAAAAAAAACAAAAATGGTATCTACAACATTACAGAGACTAAAATAGAATTTTTTAATAATAGGGAATTAAGGTAAAGTTTATGAGATTATAGGATAAAAGGGTATTTAATCATTTATAATTTTATAGGATGGAATAGCTTCTCATTTGAAACTTCCATAGTTCAATTCTTTCATAATATCCCTTTTCCTGCATTAAAGAAGTTTTGGACAGTGGACAAGTATTTTACAACAGTGGACTTGTTCTGTGGGTTTACATACTACAGATAGTTGAAAAGCCTGTTGATTTTATTACCCATATAGATCAAGCAATTTTGGAGTACCTTGGAGATCACGGTATGATGAGATCATATTTCCTATTAATTCAAAATCAACTGTTATGTGTCTGATATATTAAGGCATATGAATGTCCTTATGCACAGGAAATTCATTAATATTAAATAAGCTTAGGGTCTATAAGTCTTAACTTTCTTTGCTAATCACATGACTACTTTTATAATTTAAAGCAGTTTTTTCTCGTATTCATTTTTTGTTGTTTGGATTTGCATGCGGGTTAAAAGGATTTCAGAAATCAGAAACATGTGAAACTTGCATCACTTTTATTGTTAGTGATCTGATAATGTATGAAAGTTTGGTTTGTATCTGATAGAGCCGAATTAATAAGACAAGATAGCAGGCCCAAGATTTGGAAAGTCTAGACTAGGAGGAATAAGATTTGACAGTTTCTTATTTGTTTGTTATCTATTTAAGAAGTTGATAACTGTTTCTGTTTTATTTTTAAAAAAATTTAAAGATAGGATTATCTAGGAAGTTAATAATAGATAAGATTATCTAGGAAGTTTCTTAGGAGGAATATAAAAAGGGATAGGGAAAGTCTGTAGGGAAAAACAGAGAAGTTATTCTTTAAGAACTATAACTCTTTTTTATTCAATAAAATATTCTTTACATTTCCAGGGTCCTAACAGTATCTTAGATTTCATTGGCATATCATTAACAAACATGGAAACTTATCTCTAGTTTGTATCTTAGATTTCATTGGCTTCCTAATTATTCGTCTCATAAAAAATTATAAAAGTTGCGAATTCCTAGCAGGTGCAACCACTGTCAAGCATGGTATCAGTTCTGAAAGGCTTGGTGAAGCTGTTTATATCAAAATTTTAGAAGTGGTAATAGAAATTATTCTAAAAATAAAGTTAAAAGTCAACTAAAAAAATTTAGAAGACAAAAGCTAAACTTCTAAAGAAAAAAACATATTTTATCTTTACAAAATATTAAAGATCAAAGACAAATATCCCTGAAATTGCTTAGGCACGTTATGCTTGATTTTTATTCTCTTTTACTCTCATGTATCGGGCAGAGCACATCAAGGGGTGAATGGACACAAGGTTAGTTTCTATACTCTTTCATTCATGTATCTTGCAAGTTGACATAACTATTTTTAGTAATTTTATATTTTTATTGTGGTTTGCAGTAATGAGTTTGGTGAAAAGACAGCCAAAGAAAGTAACTTGATTCACCTGCAGACACTATACTATGCTGAAAAGCAAAAGATAGATTTTTACATTATTGAATTATTGGCCAAACTTCACTATTGGGTTACCTTTGTAAGATATTACCTTTGTAAGATACTGACATAACTCCATCAAGCCAATGCCCTCAAGAACTTCTCCTAAGCCACTTAATTTTGAAGCAAAGATGTTACAAATTATATCTTTAGATGGTATTAGTATGCCTTTGGGAACTCAGCTTTCTCAAGAGGAAAAAAGATTTTTAGAGGAGGTAACCATGAAAAGAAGGAATCCAGGAGTTAGCAAAAGTGAGAATCTTGTAATGACAAAGAAAAGAAGTGTCAAAGTTTGGCATTATATAGCAAGAATGTTGGAGGTTCACCTGTTACAACAGAAGGTTTGGTGTACAAATGATCTAGTGTTTTGGATATAATGGATGGGCTATAACATAAGATATTAATTTTTGCATCTCAATACACACAAAAAATTTCTTTTATTTATTTACTTTTCAAGTTTTGTATAGGATAACAAGATAGATATTAATTTTTTGCATCTCAATTCGCACAAAAACCTGGAATGCGGAATAACCAAAATTGTCATTTGACATTATTGCTAAATATATATCAATATAAGGGTCATTCAGTTGTAATATGAACAGAAGGTGAAGAAGAATTCAGCTAAGACACAAAAAAATATGTATCCATTCAAAGACAGAAAGAGAACCACAAAGAAACACAAAATTACTGCACTAGCATCCGCATCACCTGCATAAACATTAATGCTTGTCCTCCTTAGGAGTGTCTTTTTTTGGAGGAACCTTTGATTCAAGTTCTTTGGTGGACTTCTCCATTGTCCTGAAAAGATGACACAAAATTATTCACAATCTATGAGTTTATCTACTTAAAACATAAGCATTGTGACACCCTTACTAGTACAACTAGATTATTAGTTTAAAAGATTATTTTCTTAAGTGCATGAAAATTTTTTGTGAATTCTCTAACCTTAAAAATATAAATGAAAAACTACACACAAAAAAATATCGGAGGTGAGAATACATCCAAATATCCCATTCACACTAGGAAAGTTTACAGGAAAGTAATTTCATGAACACATTACAGTAATCCAACTTATCTAAGTGAAAATAAATTTCAAACAGCAGTTCAGCACAAACATCTGAGTCAGTGTAACATGATCCATTTTCATTTATAAAAAGAATAATTCAACTGATTCATAAGATAATATATAACATATTAACATGTCCTATGGACCCACTAGCTACTCCATTGATCAATTCTCTAATCATATACACTTTAGGGAGGGTTTACTATTTCTCTACAGTGCCCACCCAACATCAGTCACTGGCTACAAAACCCTTATACACAAAACTAAGGTACCCTGCATCCCTTAGATGACTACCTTATAGATATAAAGTGAAACAACATTTCACTTGCATTCTTCTCATCAACCTCTCAAGTCAGATAGAGGAACATAAGGAAAAGAAAAGTAAGAAAAGTCAGCTACCTTCAACCCAACAACAGCTACATAAATCCATTCAACAATACAAACTTTCTAGTCCTACATAGTACATACACCAGTTACAAGCTCCAATGACATGCTTGTAAACAGAAATTTAGCACAAAATGACAAGTGCACTGTACATAGTTACCAGAATCACACTGCTATCTATGCAGCACATGTGGGGTTACTTAATTGGTATGCTATTGGTGTTCATAGTCCAACTTTTTAAATTTTACTTGCCTCAAAATCCAATCACAGAGACCTATGAACAAAGATAGAGAACCACAATCCAAGGGTTTCTTTCCCTGCAATTCTCATACCCATAATAAATTGACAACCCATCTGCATATTTTTAATCAAATGTTTATGATTCCCAGTTTAACCCCTCCAAAACCCATCTTCCCATTCTCACTCAAAATAATTAAACAAATAAGGGCTGACCCGTGAACAAGAAAAAACGAGACAACCCATTACCCAAGTTTGAAACTTTTTACGCAAACTCACTTGGAAGAAGCGGCGGTTTCTTCTTCGAGCCAGTTACGGATGTGTTTGACGTTGCGGCGGAAGATGGAGGCAGATTGCTTGACGTCACTCCTAAGGAGGAGAACGACGGCGCTTACTCCGGCCACCGTGAGAACGAAATTCGTCAACCCCATGCCTTCGTCAGATGCAAGGGTTTTCTTTGCCAACGGAAGATGTTTTTCTTTTTTTCTTTTAAGGATCACTGGTTGAAGCTGACATGAATTACCGAGGTTCCCTTATTTCCTGTAGCTACCGATTAATCCAATCTCTCTCTTATTCTTAAGAATTTTTTACACAAAATATGGCATAATTATTAGAGTTTAAATATTTTAATAATTATAAAATGAGTGAATTTTAATTTTAATTTTTATAATTTTTTATATATTTTTTAAAATTTATAATTATAAAATAATTGTTGAAGGTGTAATTTAAAAAATTTTAACACGTGTATCAACTAATTCTAATAGACAATATAAAAAAATTAAATATGATTTTATTCCTTGAACTTTTATCAATTTTTTATTTTAGTTTTTGAACAAATTATTTGATTTTAATCTTTGAAAGCTAATTTAATATAGTCAATTTGATTGTACCCTTTTGCCAGCAAACGAGCTTTATATCTTTCAATAGTGCCGTCAGATTTATATTTTATTTTATAGACCCATTTAGAGCCAATAGGCACCTTACCAGTAGGCAAATTAACTAATGACCAAGTCCTATTTACTTTATTTCTATATTTCTTTTCTCTATTTTCTCCAATACCCCTCGCAAGCTGGAGAGTATATATTTAGAATTCCCAGCTTGGATAAGAGGTAGTTAAAAGAAATAGGTTCAAGAAGTTTAGTAAGGATGTCAGCCAATTGTTCAGTGGAGCAGATAGGGAGCAAATGAAACAATTTTTCTTGAAGCTTTTCTCGAACAATGTGGCAGTCAAGCTTAATGTTCTTGTTGCGCTCATCGAAAACAGGGTTAGTAGCAATATATTTGGCGGATTGATTGTCACAGTACAAGAGAGTAGGGGAAGTAAAAGGAATGACAAAGTCATGGAGAAGATAAGTGAGCCATTGAATCTCACAAATTGTGTTGGTTAAGGCACGATATTTAGCTTCGGATGAAGACCTGGAGATGGTGGACTGCTTATTGCATTTCCATGAAATCAGTGAATCTCCAAGGAAAATGCAGTAACTAGAAATAGAACGACGAGAGGTTAGGCAAGAACCCCAATCTGAGTCACTAAAAGCCTTCAGTTGTAATGGAGATTGCGCAAGGTAGAAGAGACCTTGACTAGGATTCCCTTTGAGATATCGAAGAACCCGGGTGGCTGTCATGTAATGAGCAGTGGAGGGAGAAGAAATGTGTTGACTTAATTATTGCACAGTAAATGAAATATCTGGTCTAGTTGTTGTGAGATATAGAAGCTTGCCAACAAGCCTTCTGTAACCAGCAGGGTCAGCATAGGGAGTACCATCTGATTGTGAAGCTTTGTTGGTTTTCACCATAGGAGTTGGAACGGGTTTGGTTGCAAGAAAACAAGTGTCAGAAAGTAAATCCAATGCATACTTTCGTTGAGAAAGATGAATACCAAGGTGTGACCAGGCCACTTCTAAACCAAGAAAGTACTTGAGGTGACCAAGGTCTTTGATCTTAAATTGAGCATCTAAAATGCCCTTTATGGAGACAATTTCAGATGAATCAGTGCCACCAATGATTAAATCATCAACATAAACAAGAATCATAGTAAAATGATTATTAATGTGCTTAGTAAATAGAAAGTGATCATTAGGAGATTGTTTGTAATTCATGGTTTCAAGAAAATTAGATAATTTGGCAAACCATTGCCTGCTAGCTTGTTTTAAGCCATACAAGGATTTGTGTAATTTATATACAAGGTTAGGCTTGGGAGAAGTTAAGCCTTGTGGGATTTGCATATATACTTCTTCATTTAAATCCCATGAAGGAAATCATTATTAATGTCAAGTTGATGAAGTTCCCATTTTTGGCAAGAAGCAATAGCAAGAAGCATTCTCACAGTAGTTATCTTGGCAACAGGAGCAAAAGTATCAAAATAATCTAATCTTTCAATTTGATTGTACCCTTTTGCCAGCAAACGAGCTTTATATCTTTCAATAGTGCCGTCAGATTTATATTTTATTTTATAGACCCATTTAGAGCCAATAGGCACCTTACCAGTAGGCAAATTAACTAATGACCAAGTCCTATTTAGGCGCAAAGTATAATAAAAAATTCACACTAGGGACCAAAATGTTTACAGAGAAAAAACTCAAGTCAACTGATTTAAGGAGGAAGAAATTGGACTGAATTTTTAGGATGAATTTGTTTTCAAGTAATGTTTTTCTATCAAAAAAAAAGTGAAGGTAGGAATATCTATTTTCATATTTGTTAGAAGACTATAAAAAAAATATTTTTAAATATATTTTATTCTTAAGAATGTAAAATCTTCATATTTAACATGTTTTTCATTCTTATAATAAAGAATATGTGTTTTATATTTCCATGAATTCCATGAAAATTAAAATTACTTTTCTAATAATTACCTCTTTGTAAAGTTTTCATTTATTTTTGTTTTTAATTAAATTAAAAATTAACAACATCAACTGAACACATTTAAGAAAATAACATTCTTTAAGTATAATACTCTTAAAGATAAAATTTCTATAAAAAAATACAATAATATACCTCAAAACAAATGAATCTTATATAACAACTATGATGCATAGGGCTGGGTTAAAGCCCAACACCCAATCCAAACTCCACTAATCCGAATTGAATGAGTCCAATTTTAAAAACTAGACTGGGATCCTCCACTCCAGCACCATCTCCCTTGAGCCCTTTTCATCCTCTATCCCCCTCCTACTTTTTTTATTCTTTCTCCTCTATTATTTTACCCGCTGCAACAGCCAGAAAGAATCTACTGCTTCTGTTAATTATTATTATAAGATCCACATTTTAAAATAGTTTGATCTAATCTATTATGCTTTTAGTATTAATTTTTTCTTTTAAAAAATATTTTTATTAAATGTATTTATTGAATTCAACAAGTAAAATCAACTTCTATATATTTGTGCAAGAAACTTTTTTTTAACTTTTTATCTATTCAATTTTTATTTATCATAATTATTTATGAATTAAATATAAATAAATAAAAATTATTTATCATAAATTTAAAATATAATTTATATATTCAAATATGATATTTATTTATATTTATATTTATATATATTATATATTTTAATTATATATAATAATGTACAATGCACTGAAATATTAGTTCATTTAATGTCTCTTAAATATAAATAATAATTCATTTTCTCTTAGGATAATAATTTGCAGTCTCAAGTTGTTTTACATTTTGGAGTTTAGGCCGAACCAACTCTACAGCAATAAACATAAAACGTATGAAAAGATTATTATCTGTAAGAGTTAAAAGTTAAATAAATAATTGTGAATATCAATATAAGTGTACCAAAAATTCTCAAGTTTGCCTAATTAAAAGAGTTAATCATCACTGTTAGTATAAAATTTTTTATACTGACAACTAATTAAATCTTTTAAATTATTTTATTTTATTTTTATTTTATTAAATAAATAACTGATATAATATTATTAAAAAATATAATTTATTATTATTATAAAAAAATTTATACTGACAATATATAAATAATTAACTTTAATTAAAGTAATTAGTTATTCTTTTGGTAATTAAATACCTGAGTCATTCCATTATATTGTTCTGTTATTCAGTAACCTTGAATGATCCTCAAGACAAATTTAATGAATTCATCAAAGTAGCATTTATCAACTTTTGAATCAGGACATTTATTTCCTAACATTCCCTCCATGATTATTTTATGACTTGTAGGTATATAGACCCAGTGTTAAGACATTCAAAATTTCGGCCACATAATTTAATTAAAACTATTACCCTGGCGTTGAAGGTTGATAATTAAAACTATTTCCGCCACACCATTAAATATAAGTTTAAGGTAAGGTTACTTTTGCTAAAAAAACAAGCAGACTTTCTAGAACAATGTATTAAGACTAATGTGGTACGGCAAAATTCCAACCGATAGAATGATTACATAACAGTAAGACTAATGTTCTCCTTTAACAACTTATGAAATCAAAACTCATGCTAAAAGCTTTTACTGTCTATCTCAGCTAAACCACGAAAAACAAAGGCAACCGACAGCACCGTCATTAAATAGTGGATGATGTCATGCAAATCTACAACTCGTCCTTGACATCACCATCATCAGCTTCAGGCTTCGAAGTAGATGCATCTTCTTTTGCATCACTTTCAGCCTCTACTTCGGTGTCGTCTTCCTCTTCAACTGTTGCTTCAGGGCTGATGTCTAAGCTAGACTTCACTGAATCATAAATACGGGATGCGAAATCCTTGGGATCATCAAGCAAGAAACCACTTTCGAAGAGTGCAGTCTGGTACATCAGCTGTGCTGTATGTTTCACACCCTCATCCTGAAAAGTAGGCCAATTATGTTAACAAATAAAACCCACAATTGTGTCAAGGAAAGAGACGCTACAGAGGAAAATTAGGCAACAGGAAACGTTCTAATCCTGAAAAGTACCTCAGGGTTCTTTACTACTCTCTCCCGGAGCTCCTTGATAATAGGGTGTCTAGGATTGATCTCGAGAACCCTCTTGCCACGCATGTATGCTTGCTTGCTAGCATCGGACAAAGTTTGAGACTGCATGATTCTCTCCATGTTAGCACTCCAACCAAACTTCGATGTCACCACTACACAAGGAGTGTTATCCAATCTGTTGGATATCTTCACATCATCAACGTTGTCTTTGGAAAGAGCACTCTTCCACCACTTGGTAAGGTCCTTGAAGGATTCCTTAAGTTCCTTGTCTTTTGAATCCTTTCCAAGTTTCAAACCCTCCTTGGACACATTTTGGAACTTCTTATCTTCATAATCCATCAGGTATTGCATCAAGTATTCATCAACTGGATCCGTGAAGTAAATAACCTGTAGCGAATTGAAGAAAAAAGATACACTTAGAAGTTAGAAGATATCAAAATATCATTGATCAGGAAAATAGAAAGACAGTTTCTAAAGCACAAATAAATACAATTTCCAGAACCATATACATCGCAAACAAAAAATACAATTTCAATTGTACCTCAAAATTTTTCTTCTTAAGCCGCTCAAGGAATGGAGATTTTTCCAGTTGTTCTTTGTTGGTTCCAGTTATGTAAAAGATATCCTTCTGCCCAGATTTCATTCTAGATATGTACTGATCCAAAGATGTCAATTTACCCTCAGACTTGGTGCTGTGAGAGTTCCAAGAATCAGCTAGATTGTTAACTAATGAAAGTGGGGAAATAACACTAGCACAAGAGTTTAATTACAAGCATAAGTAGTATACCTCTCAAATCTGAGCAGTTTTGCCAAACGATTTCTGTTGGTTGCATCCTCAATGATACCAAGTTTAATGGACTTACCAAACTCATTCCAGAACTTACTATATTGACCTTTCTTCTCGTCGTTGTCAGAGGACACATCATCTGCCGTCAATATTTAAGATTGATGGAAGTACATGTCAATGGACAGAATTCAAGAAACCTCTCTTACATTAGAAAAGGTATAACAAAGCCAAATCACACCCCCCCCCCCCCCACCAAAATAACAAAAAGAATTGATTATTTGACACACAGCAAGCCTAGAATTATAGGCCCCCGCAACAAAATAACAAAAAGAATTGATTATTTGACACACAGCAAGCCTAGAATTATAGGACTCCGCAACAAAATAACAAAAAGAATTGATTATTTGACACACAGCAAGCCTAGAATTATAGGACTAATACACGTGATTTGGTCAACCTTAACCAATAAAAAATAATAGGGATTCCAACAGAAGCAACCCATAATTATTGCACCATACCTTTCTTTTCTTTGTCAGTGGACTCGTCAGGATCCTCATCTGCAATCCTACGGATCATATCAAGGGCCTTTCTAATAAGTTTCTTCTTGATTGTCTTAAGACTATTGTGTTGTTGAAGCATTTCTCTCGATACGTTAAGTGGCAATGTGTCAGAATCAACAAGACCCTGTTCCCAATGTCAAAAGTAACATTATTTACCAAAAACTATTCCTATTCTCATAAAATATATTTATCTGCAACAACAAGAGAAACTCATCCTTACCCTCAAAAAGTTCAGGTACTTAGGCAGCAGTTCATCAAATTCATCTGAAATGAACACTCGTCTAACATACAGCTTCAGGTTGGATTTGTTTGCGTTATAATAGCTCTCATACAAATCTTGAGGTGCCTTAGGTGGTACAAACAGAACTGCCTTGAACTCGACATCTCCTTCAGCAGTGAAGTGACTCCATGATAAAGGTTTCTCATCACTGAAATCCTGCACAAAACATAAATCAACAACTTAATTAATATTAACAAACTTAAAGTGAAGTAAATTTAACAAACAATTCCCTTGAGGTATTATATAAATAATGAACAAGGCAATATTACCTTGGCAAGAGAGTGGTAAAATTTGGTGTATTCTTCTTCTGTAACCTCCTTTGGATTCCTCAGCCATATAGCTTTAACATCATTTAAAAGTTCCCATTCATAAGTTGTTTCCTTCACTGTCTTTGTCTTGGGCTTCTTTTCTTCATCTTCATCCTCGCTTTCTTCCTTGGAGGTGCTTTCTGCTGTTTAGGGAATTAAATAAGGAAGAATAACAG